CACAGACAAAGATTACTATTAGAGAATATCATTAATTTTTAAAAATACCAACAAAAAAGTTTCATGTGTCTTTTAGAGCAGAGTTCTAAAAGATGTTAAAGCAATGGTTGAAGAAAATGCTTTTAAAACGACCATGTTGACCTCACATGCTACTCGATTAAGATATGAACAGCTTTTTTTAAAAAAAAAAAGAAGTCCACTGCAATGGAAGGAAAAATAAATATTATGTACCAATCCCCCAGCTTTCATCCCATATCAGGGCAGGAAAGAGCTATCACAGAAAGTCCATGAGAATAATTTCTTTGATCAATGCTTATTAACTTAGCGGACTCTGGTTTTCAACAAGTTACTTAAATCTGGGTTTTTATAGAAGGAATCACATGAAAACCCCAACAGAAATATTCTTAGTGTTTATATACTAACCTTCACTTAAGCTGAAAAGGTAGAGAATAAGAAGAGAGAAAAATGGCCCACACTTAAGATAAAAAATGAATTCGGTTAGCCTAAGCTGCTGTCAGATCTCTGTTCCTGTCAGATAAAAGATATTTAGCATAGGTATTTTAGGCAGTAAAAATGAGTAGTGTTTCCCCAGGGTATCCTATTATAATGCAATAATAGAGACACTTCTGGAGTAGAAATAATGTATAGCTGACAGTATATTAGCTACAATTGGTAAACTATAGACAAGAAAAGGATGGAGGCAGGCAGGAAAATGAAATGCTACAGGTAGATACTTAATAACTGTTTGGTAAAGATGATATCTCCCCCATTACAAGACACCAGGCACTGAGTCAGCTCATAGCAAAACGTCCTGCCATCCATTGAGACAAGAAAGAGATGGAAGAGAGGAAGGGGAGAACAAGCCAAACTAGAACAAAACAGAATATTTGCCTGGACAAGGCCAGAATAGAGAGATAATTATGCATGGACAACTAACAGCATATACCAGATCATACAGGCCAGGTTGCCTACCAAACATGAATGTCCATCTGGCATTCCCCAATCAGGGCACAGACATTTCTTTTTTCCTCAGAGATCCAGCTAGTGGAATTCCTCTGTAGAGTTGCTCAAGACTGTTTTGAGTTTTGCCAAAAGAAGGAAGCAGAATTACACAGCCTCAGCTGCCCTGGCATGTGTCAACTCCTTCTCCTGAGATCCTGTCTCTTCTCCACGTTTCCACCAAAGATAGTAGTGGACCTACTAGGGATTCGTGTTTTGTACAAATGGCTGACTCTATGTCTTCCTTCCTCAGTCGCTTTGGCTCTTAGGATCTGCTCATAGGATCAAAAATAGAAGTCGTTTTCAACACACTATTACCTTGAATACTTCTCTTGAAGAAGGCCTTGCAGCCCTCACAGGACCAGACTCCATAATGGTAGCCTGAAGCATAGTCATTGCACACTGCACAGTAGCGAGTCTCCTTGGCAGATTCCATAGCCATACTTCCCTTGTCATTGGTACTGGCCAATCTCTCTCTGCCACCCTGGCGTCGATTATCTGAATTTGGCCTGGGGGGGAAAAAAACAGTAAATCCATTAACATTAAAAAAGCAAAACATGCACTCTCTGGGAGATGCAGCAGATCCACTTTATCCTGACATTTTGAAATAATGAATCATAATGTAAGCTAATCTTTCATTACCTCTTGCCGTCTGTTGCAACAAAAGGTGTTGCCTATTATATTAACCTTGAGGGGAAATTGTTTATTGCAAACTTGCTTTAAAAACATACTACCTGCACCAGAATATGTTACCTAGAAAAATGACAAAATGAAATTAGCTGGTCTCTAATAGACTTAATGTTTTTGCAGGAATTTACAATTATTTCAGAACCATTAGGGACCAGTGCTCATTTCAACTCTAGACCACACTCAGGGTCTTTCGGAAACAGAGACAAAGCATAAAACGGCTGGGACATTTGGAACTCAGGTGAACTGATGAACAACACGGAACACGTGTCAAAAAAAAAAACAATTCAAATTTTTATGTCATTGCCACATAACCCTGGATATCAGTTTTTATAACTTGAATCTGTAATTTGAAAATACTGTTCTTCAATATTCAAAACTCCTCTTTAGGAACATGTAGAGACTGAGCATGGTGGTTCGTGCCTGGAATCCCAGCACTTTGGGAGGCCCAAGCAGGAGAATTGCGTAAGGCCTGGAGTTTGAGCCCAGCCTGCACGATATAGCAAGACTCCATCTCTATATAAATGCTTTTTAAAAAAATTAGCTGAGAATGGTGATATGCGACTGTAATCCTAGGTACTTGGAAGGCTGAGGTGGGAGGATCACTTGAGCCCAGGATGTCGAGGCTGCAGTAGGCTATGATCGATCATGCCAACTTCAGCCTGCGTGACAATCAGAGGAACACAGAAAAAAAAAATGTAGAAAGAGAGACAATCAGAGGAATACAGAAAGGAAGCTGAAAATGAGCGGTAAGAAAATTCTAGGAAAACCAAGAAAATAAGGAAGTAAAATGCTTTAAGAAAGTAGAAAACTTTACGGAGAGGATGATCAAGGATGGCAAATAGGGCAGAGAAGTCCAACAAAGCAAAGACTGGTTAAGTGAATTCAGACCTGACAAAGCAGACTCTTAGCAAGGAGTTTCCTTAGACAGGTACAGGCACAAGCCAAACTCCAGCAGATGGAATGTAAGGAGATGAAAATGAGGGAAGGCATTCCTTTGAGAACTTGGAGAATAGGAAAGATACAGATAGGGTGGCAGCTGAAGAATATAAGACCCAAGAAAATGAATTGTTTAGAATGAAGAGACTTGAGAAGGCCTTGTGTCGACTGAAGGGCATGCGCCAGGAGAAAGGGAATGGTTGAAAGCACAAAGAAGAAGATAAAAGAATAAAGCCAAGAAGGAAACTAGAGCAATTGGGATTAAAAACACAGGTAAAAGAAACTGCCTTAATGAAGACAACTTGAAGAAGACCGGAAGGAAGGAGGTTAGGAAACTAGAGGAAGATGAGTTTGCATCTCTCACCTGACCAGGCATAGGAGTAGATGTTATATTGGCCCAGGACTTGGCAGGCATGTGCAATCAAATAAAGGTGGGATAAGAGCCTAGCACAGTGCCTGGTATGTAGTTGGCACTCCACAATATATTTAAATGAATGGAGACAGTGTTCAAAGTTGTATAAGAAAGAAAGGTAAGCAGACATTGAAAGTATAGATGGAGTGGAGGTTCTTGTGAAAATTTTCAAAAACATGAAAATCCTAAGATGAGCTAAAGTCAATTGATGATAGCCCTTCCAGGGTCTCTTGGCAAAGGAAGCTCAAGCTTCCTGCTACCATTCCCCACCCAAATACCCAGACCACACTGACTTTCACTGGTCCTCCCTTCACAAGTCCTATCTTTCCTTTTAGCCCAAATAGTATAAACTCTCCCTGCCTTCTCGCTCATTATTATGGTTCACAATTTTGTGGTAGTGGTTCTCAAACTACATTTGCCATAATATTCATAAAATATTGGCTCCTTGGGCTGAGTACGTCTGACTTTGCCAATTTTTTTCCGTTCTAAATAACTTAGTTCTGAGGTTGGCAGCCTCAAATAGGAATTCTTTATTTTTTAATGTTCTTTAGAGAGCACTGGCTCACAGTTTTCAATTCTAGTTCGTATTCTGTTACCCATCTCTTTCCATTTCACCACCATGCTGTCGAACCCACCCTCATCAGCCTCAAATCTTTTTATTGTTTGTTTACTAATAACTTATGCATGATTCAAGTCAGTAGGAAGCAGCTATGAATATCTAACTGTAGAAGCTTAGTGCCTTTGGGGGTGGGAGTAGATATTTAGCAAGTATGAAACTGACGGATTCAATGTCTTATAAGCCTTATTAATTGTTGTATCTAGCTCAGTGCCCAGCACATAGCAAGCATTCAATACGTTTGTTGAATGAATGAAGGAATGAGTGAGTCAACAGTATACGCATGGCCAGAAGTTCCAATGTGTCAAGTATCTTCCCACGCAGCCCTACGTAATAAAATGCTATATTTTTAAAATCATGGTAAGATATATATAACACAAAATTTACCATCATAACCACGTCTAAGTGTTCATCAATTCAATCGTGTTAGATATACTCACATCATCATGCAACCAATCTTCAGAACACTTTCATTTCACAAAACTGAAACTCCAGACCCATTAAACAGTAATTCTCCATTTTCTCCTTCCCCTATCTCCTTCTACTTTTGTTCTCTGTGAATTTGGCAATTCTAGATACCTCATTAAGTAGAACCCTACTTTTGCTTTTTGTGTCTGGCATATTTCACTTAGGATAATGTCCTGAAGGTCCATGATGTGACTAATATGCCACTGTCTGTATACACTACACAGACTGTTTATCCATTCATCCATCTATAGACATCTGGATTGTTTCTACTTTTTCACTATTGTGAATAATGTTGCTATAACTATGGGTATAAAAATATTTCTTCAAGACCTAGATTTTTAATTCTTTTAGATATATATCCAGAAGTAGACTTACTGGATCATATGATAATTCTATTTTGATTTTTTGGGGAACCACCAGTGTTCCCACAGTGGCTGCACCATTTTACATTCTCATCAACAAGGCATAAGGTTTCTATTTGCTCTATATCCTCTCCAATACTTACTCTCTTCTTTTTCTAATTTAGTAGCCATCCTTATGAGTGTGAGGGGAATACTGCATTTTTAAGCCACCTTTTGTCTGAATGCCTCTCTTACCAGCCACTCCTAATCCACATAAACTTGAACTAACATCCCTGTTCTGAACTCTCTAGAAGAATTTTTTTACTTCTCTTCTGCTACTTACTATATTAATCTTCAATTGATTAATTCTCATTTCCATTACTACCTGCAAAGTTCTTTGTGTCTTATTCATCTTTAAAATGCCATATGCTTAGAGCATAGTGCCTCACTTGGAATAGGGACTCAAAAATATTGATATCAAATAAATTAATCAATGACTGAATCAATAAATTTATAGTTTTCACAATGTAGGTAGAATATGTAAATATTTTCATAAATATTGGCAAAAGATTTAATAGCGAGAGCCCATTTTCCTCAGAAATAGCAAAGATGTATGCTGTCAGCAAAATGCCATTCATCTACATTTTATCTCTAAGATGACCCCCAGCTTACTGAAAATCAACTGCAGACTTTGGGCATGGAAATAGAAGGCATCTAAAGAAGATGGGGAAACCACACGGGCTGCATTGACTACCCATAAAGCAACTTTTTTAGCCAACTTAGAAATCCATGTAAATAACGTTGTCAATTATCATTTTGGCCCAGACTTACTCCATAAAGACTCTCAAAATGTTATTTAAAAAAAAAAAAAAAGAATATAAACTAGATCAAGCTAAAAGGCAAGTGCGATCTTCCTCTGGGCTCCAAGACCCTGTGGCATGCTGAGATAATATTCACATTGAGTATCCATCAGACCAAGATAACATAACTTCCTCTAGACAGAGAGCTGTGTCCTCAGAATACAGACTAACACAGCCCAACCATGGACAGCAGGAAGGAACAGACTGGGAGGTGTCCATGTCTGGGCTCAAACCTGGCCATAAGAGTGGGTCAGCCACCAACCTGGGCTTCTCTGAGTACCTATGGCTAGATCAGTCCCAGCAGATAGGCCTAGGTACAGGTCCCCACCTCATCTCTTCCTGCTGCTCTCTACCTGGCCTTGGCCCACTGCACCTGTCATAGAACTGGCATTTTTAGCCTCACAGCTCTTTAGTAGAAAGTGCCTATACCATGACTAAGTCCATCCTTCTTCTGTTCCCTCAGCCTCAAAGGCCCTTTGTTTTTCTGTATTATCATAGAACCAAAATGAATGTCTCTCATTGGGCACATTGGCTCATGCCTGCAGTCCCAGCTACTCAGGAGGCTGGGACAGAAGGACCGCTTGAGCCCAGGCATTCAAGGCTGCAGTGAGCTATGAATGCACCACTGCATTCCAGCCTGGGAGACAGCGTGAGAGTCTGTCTCTAAAAAATACATAAAATACATTTTAAAAATTTCTTTAAAAGACTCTTATTTTCCTTTTTTAAAAGACTCAAAATGTTTCAGGGTCTGCCTTCCTAAGGGGAGACTTCACAAATCTTAACTGAGCCTTACCCCTTTATTATAAGTGAAGGTTTATCTACTTCTTTAGCAAAATCACTAAGCTACCTCCTTCCTTGTAAAATTCTTATCTTTTTCTCATTGACTTGTCACCAAACCTGTACCGTTTCTCATCTTGGGCACTTTCTCTTAAGACTCAGATAGAAAGCTGACTGGTTTACCAAGCTACACATTAAGACATTAGATGTCCTTCAGCCTAACAGATGCCTGTAAAGATTCTCTGGAAAGAAGTGGGGCTGAAGCTCGAATGAGAAATGAATGCATCTAGGACAATGCATTATAACCATGAAGCACCACGTGTAGCTAAGGAACGAAGAATAGCAGAAAAAAGGATGCCCAGAAGCATAAGAGATCATATAAAAAAGACACAATACCACTGCATCTATG